AAAAAAGACAAACAGCACTATTCTGATAATACATCATCCTGTCCTGAATGAGACCACACAGTTCCCTCCAGCCTGTCATAATAAAATTCGACTAGTATTGACTGTCATGACTGGAAAAATTCTCTGATAACACTCTAAGGGTTTTCATTGTGACCTCCTGTTCAAATACCAACCAATCCAAATTTGCTTTATCTGCAAGATATGCTGGTGTGAATGTGAGGCAGCAAATTTTTACAAAGTTAATGATTGCACTCTTGTAGCCTAGGAAAGGAAGGAATTAGGACTATAATAGACCACAAAATGAAACAGGGATGGCTCTTCCTATGGGAAGTGTAGTCCATCCCCACCAGACTCTATAATAAACACCAGAAAAATCTTTGTGAGTCATTTTCCTCCTGCACTAAGCATGGATGGTGCTTCAGCTAGAACCAAGCCTAGCACCACAGCGCACTAAAATAGTAAGTATATACTGGAACCGAAAGTCTACTGTGCCTGCAAAGTAGCCTCAATGGTGATTTCTCTGCCTTTCCCCAAGCTAACATGGAACAGCATGCAGAAAATCAGGCACAGAGAGAAAAGAGGCCTGTTACACGGTCATTTACAGGAAGTTACAGGGTCTTCTGCAAGGTAAGGGCCATTTTGTTGTTTTTCTGTATGTAGCAGCTAACTATTCTTGTCCTAGTATTATCTTGATAATGAGTAACCTATGCTGTTCCAGTTTTTTTAAGATATTGAACTCTCCCACCTCCATGTGGTGTGCACGCACGCATGCACGCGTGCACAAACACACACACACACGAACACACACGCAAACACGGAGAGTCCACTTCAGAATTTTCTGTTGAGATCTCTAACAGCTAAAAAGTGTTAGTGCTGCCACTGCATTGAAAAGTAGGATAACAGGGGAAATGCAAGTTCAGTAGTTCAGGGTAGTTCAGTTTATTATTTGGTGTTGAGAAAGCAAATACAATACACATGATTTTCAAATGACTTATCCTGTGGCTTTTACCTATTCTGTATTGAATGGAATGTTACTTTTCATAGCTGCCTACAATTGTGTATACCCAGTTGTATCCAAACATCTTTGGAATGCAGTATCTGGGTTCTCCTTGAGCATTTCCTTCTTCCAAAATAGAAAGTACTGAAACCAAGAATGTCATAGGCAGATGCTAAACTGTTGTTCTCAGTACCATGGAACACAATCCAAAGGTTGTATAACAGCTGAGGCTGAGCCGAAAAAAAAAAAACTGATGAGAATGAAACAGAACTCTGGCTTAAGAATACTTTCACGTGGTTACAGACTCTGCTCCAAATTTCCTAATTTGTATATTTCTACTATGGATAGAATTTTTTTTTCATTCTCTCGCCCCACAATGTCATCATTCTGCCCTTACCTATGAAAAATATAACATTTTCACTAGTCTGGATTGGATTAGTTTGTAATAACTAGTATTTATGTTTAAATGTAACCCAGTGATGCTTTGCAGAGTTACCTGTGAGAGAGCTCAACAATCTCTTGGCTTGCCTCCCTGAACATGCATACCCATCTTTGAAAAACATTGGCAGTTGTTTTTTTGATGATTGTAGTGGTGTTTATACCTAGGTTATGTCCTGAATAGGAATGCGGAAAATTATTCTGGAGATTTGCTTGTATTACTTCAAGTTTTGATACAGATATTACTCAGCTGTTTCTTTGACAACCAGTTGGATTATGTGTTTTGAATTCTGCTAGTTGCAGAGAAATAATTCATGAGCAAGTATTAACTGTGTTCTGAAAACAGTTCTTTGACATCATGGAAACATTCTGGTAAGATAAAACAGTTGAAAAAATAGAATTGCTGCTTTTCTGGATTAATATGGAAACTTCCCAAATAGCTTCTTCCTTTGAGATGCTGCACTGATAGCTCTGAACACACTTAATTTCTAACAAGTAGTTGTATAAGATGGATTCTGTCTTTCGATAAATGTTTTCCCAGACAATAGTTTTCTAACAATATGTGAATCCAAATGCAAGATCTGTCTTGAAGGAGTAAAATGGAAGCAGAGAAAGCAAAGAGATACTTAGGAGAGTCCTAATTAGGATTTTTAACTGCCAGACTCATAGATTGCAGATTAATAGCAGGCATCTGTGTGACAGACCTTGAAGTCTAATGAGATCAAAAAATGCCCACCTGGTATCTTCATATTCTCTGGGCCTCCCAAGACAAAATCTGTCCTAGTAAACAAAGGACTTTTCAGGATGAGACATCATTGTTGCATTTTGTCTTTTGACGTTTACTGTATTGGATTAATTCTATTTTACATTTCTACAACATACATATTAAGTCAGATAAAAAGTCCATCTATCTCAGTATCCCTGTGTGCATACTGAAGAAGAGAATAAGAATGGAGCAAGAATGTAGTGATATTTCCTCCAGTTAACATTTCAGCAATCCTTGGTCTAGGGATTTCCTCATGCTGAAGTTGTATCTTTGTGTTTACTATCCCCATGGAACGTTCCTCCTGGGCAATTAATTTTGGTATACCTGTGTAAGGTTTCTGTAGGCATGCTCTGTGGCAGTAAGTTCTACAGTTCAGATTTTGCAGGAAAACACTTTTGCTTATTTTGAATCATGAACCTGATAACCTCATTGGATTGCACCTGACTTTTATATTCTGAACAACTGTGAATATTTGTACATATTAAAGGAGTGAAGAGCGTGTATTTGAGTAAAAGCATTTTTAGGACCAGGAAACAAAGTTGCAAAGTGAAATCCTCTTTGCTATTAAAAGAAAACCTTGTGTACCTATGCAGTATAAGCAGAAAGAGTAACTAAGTAGACTTCTTGTCTTTGTATTGTATTGCCCATGTCACCTTGTGTCGGTGCAGTTTTCTGGGTATGGGTTAAGTGGGTTCTGTTAATACAGTTAGTAATGAAGCAGAATAAAAGACTACTGACTTTACACGTTTACTTATAAAATGACATATCATATAGACAGTTCCACTGGTGGAGGTTTATTTTGCTGATATTTAGCAGGGAAAGGCACACTTTCCCACAATCTGGCCAGCTGATAATGATGTATTCCTTACAATTAAAACAAATATTGCTTGTGTAATGGTGTAAGATAGCCATTCCGTACATCTATGAAAACTAATAAGTTAAAATCCTCAGCTGGTGTAAAACAATGAAGCTGTGCTGGTTTATGCAAGCGGAAAATCAGACATTGTGCTTTAAATACTGTTTGGTTGCATCTTTTGGAATAATTGGTTTATACATTTATGAGTAACCTGCTTATCAAAGTACACATACCTTGATCAGTGTTTGGTAACAGAAATAGTTTGGGTGACTAATATTTTTATTGTATTTGGAAAACATATTCCCTGATCATTATTAACATATGTATTTTTTTGCTGAATTCATTTTTATTTCTGGAAAAAATTATAAAGGCTATTGACTTGTACTGTGAGTCTTTTCCACTGTATTCTTCATTGCAACCTCTCAGACACATATATGAGGTAGGAATAATATTTTTAGTGACTAAATTCATAAAACCACGTAATGGAATTCTTATTTAACACAGGCAAAAAAGGGAGATACAGTACATGGCGTATAAGCGAGGCCACTACTTGGATATTTTCTCTTTCAATAAATTTGGCTTTAGCATGTGTGATATCCTAAGCCTCAGTAGTTAAATGACAGATATTTGTACTTCTTAATTATTTGTAAGCTTTATTAATGATACTTGGAATGTGTAGTTATTAGGAAAGGTTTAAAGAATATTACTAGTAACTCGAGAACATTATTACTAACTGTATTACTACAATTTATGAACAAAATGTTCAAATCAAAGGGTTCTTGACTGTCTTCTAAGATAGAATCGGGCATCCACACATATTTATGTACTTTTGTATTATATTTTTAAGGATTTTTTCATGGTTGTTTTTTCAGTGCAGTTTAAGGAGTTCCCTTCAATGTGTTACGGCTAACTAGATCTAACTGTATCATTTCAAAAGTAGTCTAAAATGAGTAAAAAGGTGCAATATTGACAGATTACAGCAGGATGTGTTATACAGGGCGACACAGACTGATTCCAATAGTGTGTTTATTATGGGTGATTCACAGATGTAATTATTTTCTAAAACATACAAGAAGAAAAGGAAAAATAGGAAAAGCTATATGTTATCCCTATTGAAATAACGTGTTTGCTTCCTATCTGTGCACTTCCACTAGTCCAGTGTAAGAAAAAAAAATACTGTGCAAAGCACTCTAAGTGAGCTATTTCAAATGAAAATACATTTTTGCATGCAATTACAGTTGACTACAGTAAATACCCTGTTAATTGGTGCAGATGTATTAATTGATATTCTGTCTGCTGGTAAAAATGAAATAACGTCAAGCTGCTTTGTTATGTGAATTTGCAATGAACATGATCAGCAGTAAAACTGTCTGTCTGTAAGGTTCAAGATGTGGTAATATAAGAGGATATTCAGATTGTCAACACAATCAAGGCTGTGATACAAGAAAGAAATTCTTGTAGATTAAATTAGGCCCAATTAGGCCATAAATCTTCAAAGTGTTGCATATAGAGGGAGTCACTGCTCCTTTGCAGAGGTACTTTGGTGCTCTAAACAGAAATGGATAGGAAATAGTGTAGAGATGGTGCCCTGCATGTGTGAAGGATTGCCAAGACTCATGTTTTAGAATTATATCTATCCAGGGCAGATGACTGCTACGGGACAAGTACAGTATGTAAAACATCCAGATTGAGCTCTAAGTAATGCATTTGTCCTATGCTAGTCTTCTATAAAAGGAAAAATGTCATGACTTGGAATGTAAAAAAACATGTCATGGCTCATTCACTTGAAGAAAAACTAATTTTGGATAAGTTCCTAATTCCACCTCCTAAAATGGAAGGAAATCACAATTATTCTCATTGATCATATGGACCATATATTGACCATAAAAAGTCTGATTTCATGAGGTGCTGAACTGCTATGGTAGGAGGCTGCTCGTTGTCTCAAATGAATCATTTCAACCACTTTGAAGGAACAGATTCTGATTAAAAGAAATTATTACTACAGAGTTAATTCTCATTACAGTGGCTCAGTTTTTCACTTTTGCAATGAGTTGTTTTGCAAACTGTACCTAAAACATACTTTTGAACAGTAGTAAATGCATAATGATCTTGAAGAGGGCAGCAGATATTTCTCAAAGGTTTCATCCATAATTTAAACTAAATTCTAAAGATTAAAAAAATACCTCCCTCTCCCAAAGAAGAACAAGAGATTAATTTCTTAAAATTATTGCTATATTTAGTAGCTCATAACAACACCAACATGCACATTTCTGTGATTTTTAGATTTAATACAAATATGTCAAAATACCAGCTCTGAAAAATGCTCTCCATTTTAATTACAGGCCTATTCAATAAAATATATACCTTTGGTATAATATGTTTTATTGCATATAGCAAACCATTTTCATTATCATCAAAAATATATTTTAGCACTTGTGAATTAAAAGGGACTTTAATTCCTCAGATAACCCACAGTGTTGTATACAGTATCCTGAACAATTGTCAAGGCTCATTAATGCGTAGACATGATAAACGTACATTTTCAGTTTGAAAGGGTGAGTGAAAAATCTTTGAGAATTCTAAATTTATTGATAATTAGGCTACTGAAACTATCTTTAGGGTACTTTAGTAGATGTATCATAAGACATTATTTTCATTGAAAATATGCTTTAAATAAGGCAAGTTTTGTAAGAATTTATATAGTGTTTTTCCTTAAGTGACTACTATAAGGTGGTCATGCCTCCCTTGTTATTCTGAAATCACTACACACAAAGCGATAAAATTACAGAGCTAAGCATCCTCTAAGGATGAAATCACAGTGAAGAAAGCTGTGATATATTTATGGTGTTAATCATGTTCTATCATATCGCATCGTACGACGATACCACAGTAGAAGAGAGCTGGTTATTTACACTGTGTTTCCTGGCAACAAGGGTTTGAATGTAAACAAAAATGAGTCAAGCACCTTGGCAATGCGTTGACTGGCTAGTTCATCTCCAGAGATTTGCAATGTTAATTAGCTCCATTACCAATTTGACGTGAGTGAGTGGCAACATGAGGCACCTGTTTTTAAGGTAAGAAACTGGTCAGCTGACAAAGAATCAGTGGAGTTTTCAAGTAAATATGAGTATGTTCCCTTAGCCTTATTATTAATATTAATTCAAGGGTACGCTAGTATATGATCCAAGAGAGATGACATGGTATTAGATTAGTATACAGTTTAAGGAATTATATAGTATAGAGTGACTGTTGTTTTCGAAGATGTCTAAGCTGTTGAAAATCAGTACTTTTTTCCAGCATACCAAGTAATAGTTTAAATGAATTAGTCTAAATATAGTCTACATTTTAACCTAGGTTAGCAGAAGTGTGATAGGCTATTCAGATACTCTTAGTCCAGTTGAGATGGTTGGTATCATACCTACCCTGGTGTTCAACTATCACAAGTGTATTTTACGGAAGGGCGGGTATGAACACTTGAACTTTAAAAGTATGACAGTTGGAGTATCCTTCCAGACCAAAATGCTCCTTCTCTCTAAGGTCAGTGAAACTACTGAACGGTATTTCCATATTATTTGAAAGGATCTTGGCCTGTTAAATTAAAAAGATGAAGCCTATTGTTGTAAACTGTTTTTCTGCACTGGAGGGAGAAAACGTAGATTCACTGTTACAGGAGACAGCCTGTCTGGCTTTGCTTCCTCACTTCACAGTGTGTCTCCTCACACTTAAGAGGCACCTGCTACCTGTGGACAGTCCCTATGTCAGATCTTGTCCTGAGAGTTGTGTTTTCTTCCTTGTACCAGTGTCTTAAATAGCATCTTCTCTTTTTGATTATTTGAACGTGTTTCATTGCTCTGGGTTCTTACACTATTTTCATAATTGTGGTAAACATCTGATTATTATTTTGAAAAGCTTATCTCTGGCAATAATTTGTAGTCTCAAGAGCTTTTCAGGAGATCAAATTGAAAAAAATATCACATGGTCATCCTGCAAATATGATGTTTCATATTTCTCTCCCCACCCCTTCTACACCTTTTTTTCTACCCCTAGATTTGAATTTTATGAATCATATCTCTTTTCTTTCCTTCCTGTTTATTCTCCTTGCCTTTGTAGCTTTGAAAATAATGAATCAGATGTATTTCTCCTCCTACATGCTATTTTAAAATTGAGAAGTCAACTGGGAATGCCATTCCTAGGAGGGCTGGTGAGATTTAATCTCCACAAAAATAAATAATTATGTCCATTATAGGAGCAAAAGAATATAGGTAGAGATACTTATCAAATATCCCGATCTCTTTTCAAATACTTTGATATGTCACTTCACTAATACAGTCTCACTAATATATTTGCTAGTGGCCTGATTTCATCTTTTTAAAAAAGTTCTCAGGGGTTTTAGAATCAAGACCACCGTAACCAAGTAGAAAGTGGTAGGAATGGTTTTGCAATTTCTTTTACTTGGCTAGGCTAGATGGATACTTCTGCTTCAAACTATCTCTAGTTGTTGCCTCCATTTAAGAAAAAAAATGAAATTATCCATGTGCAATCCTGTAATATTATCCTAAAGAATATGACTGTGTTGTTATTTGAAAGATACATCATTGTATAATAGGATCCATATGTCAAGGCTCTGTAACTTTGGATCCCAAGTATCATGCAAGGAATTTTATCAAAGTGCCTTCAGTGTGGAACAGATATTTCACTATAATATTTATTAGTAGGTCTAGTAAAACAGATACGGTGTTTGATGTTGTTGAATGACACTCATAAGGTTCCCATTTTCACACAGAGTCCACCTTCACTTGATTGTTGTTTGTAATCAACGGAGAAGGCTTACTTTTCATCCTGTCTGCTGCATCATTAGAACTATCCTGGAAGAAAACTTTTGCTGTACAAAAAGTGACAATAATTCTCTTGTATTCTCTTCTGAAATTCTGGTTCAGGAGTCCATATATGATAGCATTAAGGCAGCTGTTGAAATATGCCATGTAATAACTAGATACAAACAACCACTCTGGAATCCTAGGGATTATAGTTTCTGGGTTAACAGCCACAGCAAGGCCTATAAAGTTCAAAGGAGCCCAGCAGACTGCAAATAGTACGAATACCACAAACATGGTGACAAAGTTTCTGAAGTCATGCGGTTTCAGTTTGGGGTTGTTGTCTGGTTTAACCCTTCGCCTTACCTGAATAACAAGGATCCATATTCTCAAGTAACAGAAAGTAACTATGGCTATGGGAAGCATGAAATGGAAAAACACTACTGCTATTGTATACGCTGAGCTCACAGATTGTGCAAATGTACAAGAGTAAATCCTAGGGTCATATTGTAGAGATCCCACAAACAAATTGGGCACGATAGCAACAAATGTTAGTACCCAAATCAGAACAACGTAGCACAAAGAATTCTTGTCGCTGTACAGCTTGTCGTATTTGAGACTGTGGCAGATATAGCAATACCGATTGATAGCGATGCCTGTAATATTGAAGATTGATCCAATGACACTTAGGCCCATCAGGAAGCCACTAATCTGGCAGTGAAGGTATCCCAAATTCCATCCATTGTGAAATACAGATGTGAGGACCAGTGGATATGGGTAGATTGCTACGACCAAGTCTGCGATGGCCAGGCTTACAACAAATACATTTCCTGTAAAACAAATATAAGAAGACAAGTATTATTTTCTCTTTTACTCTCTTCTGTTGCTGCTTCTCTCAGTGTTTTAATGGTCAGCCTTAGTGGAACAATTTGCATTGACTTAATTTTTAGTTTCTAGATCAAAATTCATTTTTATATATCAGAAATAAGATGCATTTTTAATCCAAATAGGAAGATGCTCAACTTAAAGGTACACCTTTTAAAAGAAAACTGTTTGGGGACTTTAATTACCATGAAGTACTATTTTTGTCGTCTCATTTATTTGGATTCTCCTAATCTCACAGACTGAGAATTCATATATAATTAAAATATTCATAACTCTAAGCCTGCTTTGGTCCTAAATGGATAGTCTTTCTTGAAAAATCAGCATAAACAATATGATGACTAATACATTTCGGAACTTACATTTACCTTTCATATTTAACTTCATTCCTTTTCCTTAAATTACCCTTAACTTATCCAGCCCTGAAATGAAAATCTATTTTTGTATTTGCATTTCAAGCTTCCATTATAATGACATTGTCTTTTTCAATCTACTGAATATCACTTAACTAAACCATTGCAATTCATGTTTTGAGAAGCAGCAGCTTTGGACTTTTTAAGAAAGAATTTCTGAGATTTGAGCAGAATGCAAACGGAGTTATTTTTCCTAAATTAAGAGACATGCTCTTCAGGAAAACAAGATATGCCATGCAGTGACAAAGACAGTTCCCACAGGCCACTGATGCCCATCCTTCTCTGCCTCCTGACTGGGAAATTAAGCAATGATCTATTCTCTAGTTTGTTTTTTTTTTTGAAAAAAAACAAAGGGAGATTACTCTTATTCAAAGACAATGGAACCCATCATAATCATAATGGAATCCAATCATAACCCATAATGTGTTTTGAGTTAATCCTTTGAACATAGATAGATTATGTATTCTCTCTTTTTTTTAGGTACATAAATGATAAGTCTTGTTATATTTCATCTGAATGCCTCCCAACCATTCACATTTCTAAGGAGATACATGGTTATATTTTTCTTCATTTTTTAAAAATAACTACTACATGTATGGATCTATTTATTTGCATGAACACATACATATCTAGAGAAAACTATAAATGTGTATGTATACATACTGACATATGCATGCATGTATGTATATGAATATGTGTGTATGTATGTTTAGATATGTGTGTGTGTATGGGATTATATTTTGGAATCTGGAGATTATTCACTGAAGATCAAATATGACCTCTGATTGGAAATTGTAAGAAGATATATTCCTACTTTTATATGACAAAATTTCACTAGTAATCCAAAGTGAGGTTTTGTAAATTTTTATGCATTTATTTTGAGTAGTCAAAACACAAACAGATAAAAATAGATTAAAAAACACTAGTATGGCATTTTAGCTTCTATAACGCACAAAATAATCATTTTAAAATATATTATTTGACACATTTTAAAATGCATTTTCTCTCACTAATCTCATGCTTTAAATGGTCAGGTAGAAATATTAAATCTACAAACACCCACAGAGAAAAGCATTTAAATCATTTGGCTCAGGATTCCACTTACTTCCGTTTGTGCAAGGTTTATTTGATGCGGGCATTGAGTTTGACATTTGACATTTATGTTAAAGGTAGCTGGGATAAATGGCCTCAGGTGAGAGACTGCTGCACTATTTTTCATAGTTTTTGTATCTGGATTATAAATATCTTTCTCTAGCTGGTTTCTGTAGTTGTTTCTTCCTTTTGTCTGGGAGTTCAGTGCCAGACTGATACAGGCTTAGCCTGAAGGCTTTGGCAGAATTCCAGATCATTTCAATGCAAACATAAGACCTCCTTTAAGCAGAAAAGGACAAGGGGAAAAAATTGCTTTCAGAATCTACCCTTGACATACTGGCAAATGATATAGAAATGGATCAAGAGACTGTGTGAAGCCCAGAGCTCTGTGTATAATTTATCACTGAGAAGTAGAAAGTGACTGAAAAGTTGTTGGTAGCTTTTTTTTTCCACACAACATTGCAAATTTGCAGAAATGACACCATAGATACTCTAGATGTGACAAAGAGTGTCCTTATTAAAGTGTAGTACTTAAAGAATCCTATTTATATGTTATTACAAGTTGTCAGTTTAGCCAGAGATTGCACATAAAAGGCTTTTCTCTCAGCCATCTGCTGCAACCTCTGCTGGTGCTTTTGATTAATATTCTTATGACCATTATTGGCAAACTTGAACTAAAAGCTTCAGCAGTTGAAAGAACACGGCTACAAGAAATGGTTTCTTTTTGCCCTATGTTGAAAAAAGGGAAGTTGATGTGCTTTTCTCTGAATAGTTTTAGCAATCTTATGCTTTGGCAAACAATGCAGTTCCAGATTAGCGGAGGAGCTCTGTGTCCAGATAGTACCTTTCTTCTGATATCACTGTGAAACTCCACACAGGTTAGCCAAGGTACAAGTCTTTAAAAAATTCAGCTTTCATATTCTTAGCTGAAACTTATATTTTCACAGTCAAAGATTCTGCTGTTATTAGAAAGGTGTAGCATAGGTCTGAGCACTTGCCTTGAAGTTTTAATGTGATTTTAGTTGGGGCTAAAACCAGATAACTGAATGAAGACAGCAAAGGCATGTTTCCCATGCTGTTCATCATGTGCTCATACTGGTCTGTGGGGGACTAATGCAGATTGAAGGTAATACTAATATCAGCAGGTGGATGATAAATGATTCATTGCACGAAGGAGACTGGGCAAGAGAACTGAAACTAGGAGTTGAAATGGAATATCACTGGCCGGGTAAGGCTTCTGGAAACCTGACTTTCTATTGCATTTACTCTTTGTGATTGTGAGTTAATAAGAAAAAATGGAGACAGAGGAGGTTGAGATGGAGAAATTGGAGGATAAACAGGTTCGAGAAAGGTCTGTTTTTTACAGTATTAGGACTGGGTCAGGAAGTGAAAAAAGTCTTAATACAAGCTGGAGAGAGCTGACTGATAATGAATGAAAGATAAATGAAGCTGAATGGTAGATCTGGCCAGAAGACAGAAGCATAGAGATAAACAAGTGATAACTTAAAACTATAGAGGTTAGTCAGTTAGGACACTGGATTGTACAGGGATATGTGAGAAGGATCCTCAAAATATTTGAGTGTTTAGAAAGTGTTGGAATTTTGTCTACAAAGCAGCCAAATTTCAGGTTTCCCCAAAACGAGGAGCCGTTGTTGTCCCAGCTTATGCTCTCTGGCTGCCTTAGAGCCAGAAAGCTTGAAAGTCTTGGAAACACTAGCTGCTTCATATAGAGGACAGAGAAGAAAGCGTATTCTGGGAGTGTGTCCTTTTAAAAATTCATTAGTTTGGAAACCAAAATGCCAGGATTCCAGCTCACAGTTAGCATGTCAGGTGGGACACCAAATAGCTGGGCTAGAAAACAGGTTGGAAGCTAGATACCTGCTTGCAGAGAGGACTTTTAACCTGCCGTTCAGGAAGAGTTCTCCTGAAACTTGAGTTCTAATACATTTTCCTTGTGAGTACAGGAGCGCTGTAGTTGTAGAATGGCAAATTCAAATAAAAATTTATTTGGGTTTAGTACCTTTGTTGGGTATTTTGAAGTTCATTGCTTCCGACACTGACATCTGATCAGCAATGGTGTTAGGTTTTCACACATTATATAATAAGTAATTTAAAAATAAGGCCTTAGATTTAGGCACCTATGATTAGTGGAAAATGTTAATGTTCTGTGAAATCCCCATACATGGCCTGTTGTGAAATTAAACTCTTTTATGTTGTGAAGCACTTGGATATTGTAGTGATGAGTACTGTAAGGAAGATCTAGGAATAAAGTAATTTTTATCTTTAGAATTGGGTTTGAACAGAGGGCTGCAAATGAAGTCTGGAACTCCACATTGAATAAAAAAACCCCAAACTCCATAATATCAAAATCCTGAATAACTTTTTATGGGCAAAAGGTATTCATTCCCTTCAGATAGTGAGATCAGGCTGCTGTGAAAAAATAAAATCATTCATGTAACTAAAGAATGCCTTACAGTGCATAAACACTAGTTGGCTGAACTGAGGATGTACAGGCTGAATTTCTTGAGTTTGCCATTTAAATAACTTAAGCAGCTGTTGTGCTATAGATGTATCTGGGAAGAAAGATAAGCTAATGGTAACCAGCTTTGGCAGGCTGTGCTTTGAGATGCAATCCAAAGCAATGTTCCATTAAATATTTTCACTGTTATAACTGAAAAAAAAGCCCCTCTGTTCAGCAAGCACACAGCAACATCAGACCTACTGCCAAGTAAAAAACTACATTAAAGTGAAGAAACAAAGAAGTGCTCTCCCAGATAACTTAATTTTTCCAAGAGCAAAATACGACATAAATGGAATGGAAAAAACCGTGACCCTGACAGGTTGTGAAGAATGTGTTTGGGATTAATTGTTATGATGTGAAGACGGGTAGAAGAGCATCGAATAAGAACTACGTAACGTTGCATCCACAGCAGCTGCTATCAGCAAAACACACACAAAATGCTATGTAGGTTGTGATTCCCTAGATTCAGTGCTAAAGAGGTGCTGAAGTTATTGGGAATTACACAGTTTCCCGAAGTTTCCAAAAACTTGAATAGGTGCTGAACAGTAGTAGAAAATTACAGTCACTTAGTCTGCATGGTGCTAAGTGCCTCCCATTGACTTAGACTGGAAGGCTGAGCACTTTGCCAGCAGATTAAAAAGAAGCAGAGGGACAAATTCTTCCTTCAAATTTAGGAGGATAACTGAGAGAGATGTGGTCTGCAGAGACGTTTCCTCAAGTGTTGAAACTGTGAAGTATTTTCTTTCTTCCAAAACTTTTAGCTTGGACAAAAGAATATATCTATGGAACAAAATAACAATGTTTTAAAGCATTAGGAACTCTAGCCAGAGTTTTTTGTACTAATGAAATCTGAATGAATTGTAGAGAAGATCTCATTTTGGTGGAAAAATGGCAAAGCTACTCTTTCTCCTCCTATTTTTCA